TGGGATAGTATAAGGTAGGACATACATTTTTAAATGTATATATTAATAAACCAATATAGGCTGCAATCTTATATTTATTTACCCAGAGTAAACCCCACTGAATGTGTGTCTGAGCAGATGTGGATAAAAGTGTGCTATTAAAAGACTAAATCAGCCTTCCGTAACTTGGTGTTCTCCATATATTTTGAATTTCAGCTCCTATAATTCCCAGCTGCTACAGGAGTAATTACAAGAGTTTAAGTCCAATACAGATGGAAAACAACCAGTTGGGAATTTTGGATTAAACCATACAAAGCCCTTATTCCAGAAAAAAACTGAGACATACACCCAACGGGATCAGGCAGAGAAGTCAGGTAAACACTTCAGATTGTATCATGAGTGGCAGAGAGGTTGATAGCAAAAATGTGGGTCTGAATGAAACAGCAAAACCTTTAGACGTTTGCAGTCAAATAGAGGAGAGGCCATTTGAGTTCTCAATTTCAATTTTAAAATGTCTTGAATTGCTCTTGTCAAACAGACTTCAACAGCTGTTGCACAAGTGGTTGCTGCAGAAGAATCCAACTCCATCCGAAGTCTATATTTCTATATTTGTCTATAAATCTGTATTTGCACCGAGAGAATTCTGGTTAAAATGTAACTGATTCATAAACCAGGAATATAAAGCATGGCTTAACCCTGACATTTTAGAGAAAATTTCAATAAAACTAATTTCCCTCTGCAGAGACAATGCAAAACTCACGGAAGCTTGTATTATTTGAATCATGGAATAAATCAACAGCCATGTAAATATGGCATTTTTTAAAATTGTACTATATTGCAAAACTGTATACTTTAAGGTTTACTTTGTCCTAAACTCCATACTTGCAGTCAAATCTCAATAATGCCTACATTCAGTTTATTTGCAAATTTGGAAGTTTTACTTACACAATTATGTTCTGACCTGAGCACATTATTTAAAGATTTAAATATCTTCCAGATGATATCAGTGAATTCTATCTATTCTATCTATTTCCAAAAATAAACATGGTTTTAACTTGGAATGGGATTTTATCTGTTTTACAAAACCAAGAACTCTGATGTTATTATATTTACATGTAGAAAAGATTAGCAGATTAACTGTCTTGAAAAGATTAGATTTATAGTGTTCAATGAAGCCTAATCTGTCGTAGAAAGTTTAGCCACTTAGCTATTTAGCCAAAGAGTCAACTGAAAATTGTGATAATACCTTGTTATGGAAAAACATCAATATTATTGCTGTTTTAAAAATAGACAGATTTTAGCAGTGAAAGTGAAAGCTTTAAGATTTTTTTTTTTTAAAGAAAAATATGAAGCCTAGGAATGGGCTTTCAGATCAATGAGCAATCTAGACTACCGGCTGGCAGCTGCTTAGGAATTTAAGCTGCAGTTTTCTTTTGCTTTATGGAGATACCAATGCATCTTCTTCATGACAATTATGTACTACCTCTGAACTAAAACTCAGTTGTGAATAAGGAAGAGATTGTATTCTCACTTAAAAAATATTCTTAGCATCTAATAATTAATGGGAATAAATCATGGAACAAAATGATTTAAAGAATAAAGGATGACCATATCTGGGCTGCAAAACTCCAGATGACCACTAGAGGCCAACAAAGCAAGGTAGAAAACTTTCAACTTTCTGCCGCTGTTCAGTTGTTGCCCTGATTTGTGCAGCCTGGATCTGATGGTTGAAAATAGTGGCCAAACAATGTCGACTGGCGGCCCCCAGGGGGAGAGCCTTCTCTGTGGGGGCACCTACGATCTGGAACGAGCTCCCCCTTGAGATACGGAGGATTCTGGATCTGCGTACCTTCCATCGCGCGCTTAAGACGTTCTTATTCCATCAAGCTGGCCTGACCTAAACTTTTCCTCTTTTTAAATGGAATTTTAAATTTGGTTTTAATTTATTGGGGTTTTAAAATGATTCAGCCACATTTATTTAATTAGTTTTATCTCTATTTTAAATTTTGTATCTATATGTTTTATTTTATGGCTGTTCACCGCCCTGAGTCCTTCGGGAGTAGGGCGGTATACAAATTTAATAAAATGAAAAATGAAAAAATGAAAAATAAAAGAAAAAGTTGCGACTTCTGTTTTCTAATGACAAAGATTGATTTAATTTAATATGTACCTGTGGTAGTTATGTTTGATGCTGCCTTTTATCACACAATCAACATGACAATGGAAATTCACATTTCCCCATCAGAAAGATAGCCTTCGTGCGCTCCAGCCTCAGCCAGTGAATAAACCCTATTTTGATGGATTTTAGCCAGTACACTAAACTGTAAACTACTGCTTGCAAGCCACATGGTCTAGTTTCAAACATTGTAATTTACATGAAGCTGGTAAGTGAGTTGAAAGCTAAGAAAAAAAGGGGGATATCCTAGTGAGAAAACAGGGTCTGGGGTGGGGAAAGTGGTCTTTTGGACTTACATAATAAATGAATCACATTTTTTTCTATTCTATTAATCTAATCTTCAAGCCGCTGGAAAATCCCTCCAAGAATTACATGAAAAGAATCACAGATCTGCTTCAGTGTTTCTAGGACAATCTAGAAAATATTTAGTCTCTTGCTTTATGAAGTCTTCCTAAAAAATATTCTGAAGTAGCAATATGCATGCACCTGTGTGAGCAAGGGTTATTTATTGTGCCTCTATAAGAAGCATTCTAAAAGCTTTTCTATGGAAGCAAATATACTGAAATTCCTCTAATTCCAAATATGAATTCACTGTTGCTTAAAATCCATAACCTTTCCTGCTTGAAAGTAAGCATTCTTATCTTCCCGCAGAAGCCCTAAATTTCTGGAAAAGCGAGGGGAGTGGCATAAATCTGCTTGAAATTCTAGATGACTGCTTTCAGTCAAGATTGACAAGTTGGACTACATAGATCAAAGGTCTCTCTTTCTATGCCCATAGTGCTGCATCTTCTATGATCTCATCGCTCCTAGGTTTACGCTGACATTTGTATGTACTACAGAACTCCGTAAACATCTGCTTAGAATACAAACTAATGGATGTTCCTTGGAACTCCTTGAGAACACTTCCAAGATCTAGCACAAGCCCCATTCCCAATGGTACCCGACAGCATTGCTGATTCCCCTAGAAAGCGCTTCTGGATTGGATGGAAGAATCAGATTCGAACTGACGGCATTTGAGGGAAGGTTTCAGAGATCATTTCTAGACTTGTCTAATTGTTGTTTTTCTACAGGACAGACTCTTTGGTAAGTGAGATTCAGATATTCACTATTTTCCTTTAGGGTTTCGTTCAAGTGTGCTTCAAAAATTTAAATGTGCTTAATAAAATAAACTCGTGTGTGAGATTGTTGCTAGAACCTGTAGATCACAACCTATACTCCTGTATTAACCCACACATTTTAAAATGGGGTTCTATACGTCTCTTACAGATTAAGGATTTCTGGATTGCTTTCAGGCCCTGCACTGCAATTTTGTGACATTTATTTAGCATATATAACCAGAAAGCACCTTTTAAAAAAAGAAACCAGTTCATAAACAAGTAAACTGAGTTTACAGCCACATTTTTGTGACAGAACAATTGTTTCGGATCACTTTAAATATAGCATAGTGATCTGGGTTTGGATGGAATATCTGATGGAACTTTTACAGTGTTATTTCTAGTGTTTTAATATCTCCATGCTGGCCACATATGGCATATTATCAAACTCACGGTCTATTAAGGAATAAAGGGCTGGAGATTGGCAGCCTGCAATGGAAGTGCAGCGGGCAGCCCTGGGCCTTTATGTGCACATGGACAACATTGCAGAGAACCACAAACTGGTTCCACCCAGTTTAGAAAATAATAATAAAAAAATAAGGCAGGAGAAGGCCTTACTTTTATCTGGATCAAATTTTATAATTGCTATCTTGGCTCAAGAGGCTCTCCTCCAAACTTCTACAAGTTGTAGAAGAATCCAATGGTGCAGAAGCACCTTTGGTCTTTTCCAGAGGAAACCTCAAGAAAAGAAAAGCTGCTTTATTTCTGCTGAAGTTTCTTTTTCTTCTTCTTCTTCTTTTTGTAAATTGAAGGTTGGGGGCTTGAATGAACCCTATGCCGCACACCTGAAGCACCCAGTTATTGGCCTGCCCTCTCCATTGATTCTGTCAATGCAATCCCATATTGCTCTGCTGTTTTTTTCCCTTCTGCAATACTGAGCCCAAAGAGATTGGTGAGGCCACTTGCCTAAACTTTCTCCATGCTGGCTCCATGGGAGTTTATTTGCCCCAGATCTTCAGGCCTCTTCTAGGGTTACAGCGGAGATCCCAGCCACAACCCCACCTTACCCTTGCTGATTCTCCACAAAGCCCTGGGATTCTGCCCCAAAGTTGCCCCCAAATGAAAGCCCCCCCCCCTCCAAAACAAAAACCAGAGCAAAGATTGACTTCCCAGCAAAGCTGCCTGGGAATGAATTGTTTCTCCACCCCACCGGCGTTTCAACATCCATTCACCCACGCATCCCCTTCTTTTGGAAGAAAACCCCCAACCCAAAGTGATGCTGGGAGAAGGGGCTTCGGGAAACAAACAGGCTCAGGAATCAAGTCAAGACCTTCCCAGATAGGTGGCGGGACAAGACAAACCATCCCTCCTCCCGGCCCAGCCCAGATGCCTGGCAGGCCGCTTCCAGGTCCCCGGCATCCAGGGTGGGGGTAACCTTCGCTCCCTTTCAGAGTTCCGACTTACTCGGCCTTTCCTCGAAGCAAATTCTGCGCTGCGGCCGCTTGTTACTTTCTTGCGGGTAATCCGAGAGAGAGAGGAAGAATTAGGCGAGATGAGCAGATGTTTTCTTTTAATGCATAGGGTGGCTTTTATTGTAGTTTAAATTCGGGCGGGTTCCCAGGGGGAGGGGGGGCTGCTTTCCTTCTTTCCCGTCTCAGTTTCAATCCTGGAGCCCGTCCTACCCACGAAACCGCCTCCTCCGTTTTTATCACTCTCTCTTCCCCCCCCCCTCCCCACCCCCCACCCCCCATTTCCCGGTCTCCAGAGTCAGATTCTCAAGCCTGGAGTAAGAAGTAAACTCCGAGAAGGAGTCGAGACCGGGACCGACAGAAACAGAGAAATCAAAAGGGACAGTCAGCTTTTCCACCGGGGGCTCCTACCTTCCAGAGCCGTCTTGCGGGAGAAGTAGCTCGGAAAGGAAGAGGACGGAGAGCAAAAAAAAAGAGAGAGAGAGAGAGAGAGAGCGCAGGGTCAGAGATCTCGGCCCGCGCTAGCCTTGCTTGTGTTCGGACCCCAAGGCCGCCAGGAGCCTCCAGCCATGCGGCGACCCCCAAGGACGCTCTCTTTCCCACCCCTTCCCACCCCCAAAGCCAAGGGGCCCCGAGAAAACGAGGCGGAGAATTCCGGTCCCGCAGAAGGAGGGCAAGAAGGTTCCGCCAACGAAACAAGCTCGGGCTCGCCCAAGTCCGTGGAGCCGAAGGAGATGAAGCTTTCCCGGCAAACTCGGCCGCCGTCCGCCCCGTCTCAGGACAGGCAGAACTTGCACCTGACGATCTTCTGGAAAGCACTTTGGAAATCCTTGTTGAAGTAGGCGTAGATGACCGGGTTGAGCAGGGAGTTGGAGTAGCCCAGCCAGTTGATGACGGCGCCCAGCCACTCCGGCATGGAGCAGCCGACCTCGCAGAAGGGCAGCACCAGCGCCACGATGAAGAAGGGCAGCCAGCAGAGGATGAAGGTGCCCATGATGATGCCCAGCGTCTTGACCGTCTTCCGCTCGCGGGCCAGGGCCATCTTGCGCTTCGCCTCGGCGCTCTTGGCCTCGTTCTTGCGCTCGGGGGCCGGCGAGGCGGCGTCGGGGAGGGGGTGGTTGGGCAGGGGCAGCATGAGGCTCTTGGCCGAGTTGGACGGCGTCACCTCTCGCAGCTCCAGGGCCGAGGCGGCCACCCAGCCGCCTTCCCCCGGCCGGAGGGTCCCGTTGACGCAGGGCGCCCCCTTGGCTTCCGCCGCGCTCCTCCTGCCCTTGGCCGCCGCTGCCTGCTGCTGCTGCTGCTGCCGCCGCCGCTGCTCCTGCTGGGGACCGCCGTTGGTGCGTCTGGCCGGCGAGTGGGACAGGCAAGTGTCGGCCACCTTTTCCCCCGGCGCTGCGGGCAACAAGGGCGGCTGTTTCTTGTCTGCTTTGCGGACCGTCTTGCGGATGCGGAAGCGGGCCGCCTTGAAGATGCGCCCGTAGAGGACCAGCATGAGCAACAAGGGGATGTAGAAGGCGCCGAAGGTGGAGTAGATGGTGTAGCCCGGGTCCTTGCTGATGGTGCAGGCGTTGGGGTCGGAGCGGTCCTCGGGCGTCCGCCAGCCCAGCATGGGCGGGATGGAGATGAGGAAACCGATCAGCCAGGTGAGGCTGATGAGGGCGGCGGCCCGGCGGGGCGTCCGCTTGTTGACGTAGTCGATGGGGTCGGTGATGGCCCAGTAGCGGTCCAGGGCGATGGCGCACAGGTGCAAGATGGACGAGGTGCAGCACAGCACGTCGAGCGCAATGAAGAGGTCGCACATCGCCTGGCCCAGCGTCCACTTGCCCAGCACTTGGTAGAGGGCGGCCATGGGCAGCACCAGCACCGACACCATCAGGTCGGTGACGGCCAGCGAGCCGATCAGGTAGTTGGCTACCGTCTGCAGGGAGCGCTCCAGGACGATGGCCGCGATCACGCACGCGTTGCCCAACACGGCGAAGAGAATCAGCGCGCCCAGCACCACGGACGTGGCCAGCTGATAGCCCAGGCTGGCCGGGGACCCCGAGGGCGGCGGGGTTGGGGACCCGGTCGGCTCGCTGAAGCCGGCCGCCGCCGTGCCGTTGGATAGCTCCATGGCGAGAGGGGCGGGCAAGAAGGCAGCGCCTTCACTCCGGCTCTGGCAGCGGCGGGCAGCTCCTCCCGAGGGTCACCATGGCCCCCCGACGGGACAGGCGAAGGGCGGCCGCCTGCCTGGATGACGTGTCCCTTAATGAGCTATAGCGAGGGAGCGGCCGGGCTCGCCACGTCCAGCTCCTCGGGAGAGCCCCGGTCACAGTGGCAGCGCCGCGCCGGTTGCATCGCGCGTCCCAGTCTGAGCGCTCTGGGACCGACGGCGCCGAGCGCTCCGCTCTCCGACGGCACCCACTTGCTGCTCGGGGTTCCGCTTCGCCCTTCCCGAAGAACTCTCTTGCCCTCTCTTTGCCTCCAGCCGGCTGCTTCGCCCTCCTCGAATAACTCTCACTTGCTCAGCTTTCTTTTTCCCCGACTCCCCGTCGGTCTTTCCGTCCTGGCTGAGGCTGAGGCTTCGTCCGGATGCATCTTGTCCTCCTTCGGCTGCCCCTTCGCTTCTTTTGCCTCCTTTCTCTTCTCTCCCCTTTCGGCCCCCTCCCTCCCCTTCGGCTTCCTCGCTCCTGCTCCCGTTCTTTAGCCCTGCTGCTGCTGCTGCTGCTGTCGCCGACGTCTCTCTCTCTCTGCAGCTGCGCCCCCCGCCCCCCGCTTTTGTAGCTCCCGGGCTGTTCCGGGCTCCTTTCGCTCTGCCCTCCCTTTCTCTTCGATTCTCCTTTCCTCTCTAGCACCCACTCCACCCGCCACTCAGTTGGTAACTTTCCTTCTCTTTCAGTCTTTGAGGTTCTCCTACCTTTTGCTATTAGGTTCTTGTTTTGTTTCCTTCTGTCCTTTCTTTCATCTCAATCCCAGTTCTTCACTTCCAAATCTTCCCGGGTTTTTTTATGTTTCTCCACTTTGCCCCCTTCATCTTTTCTTCAGTTTCCACTCCACATCCTCCCATCGACTACTCCTCCGGCAAACACACCTTATGGGTGTGAATAGGTATTTCTCTCTGGGTTGCATTACACTCCAAGCGATGGTTCCTTTTTATCAGTAGAATGTGGAACAGCACGCCTGGTGAAACGACTAAGAAAGAGACCCTCTCTCCATTCAGAAGGGGAAACTAAACCCGAAACAGAGTTTCGAGCCTCCAGCACTCAGTCCCTCGCTTTTACCTTCACTTCTCCCAAACTTCTAACCAGTGTAAAGGAAGGCAAATCATTCCTCAGAGCAAAAGTTAAGTCGCCAGCAAATAAGGCAACCGTCCTCAACTGATACCTTTCACAGGTATCGCACTACGACTCTCAATACTCCCAACCCTCATTCTAGAGTTGGGACTCCACACCTCCGGGTGTGTAAGAGAGTGGACAAAACTGCATCTTCTCCCTCCACTTATCCAACACATTTCACATTGGTACTGGCTGCACTGTTGGCTGCATCTTCCCTTCTTACCCAGATGGTAGTGCAGTCGCTGGGAAGCAGAATGAGCTAAGCTTTGGCCAGAGGCCAAGCTGAAAAAAATCGGGGGAAAGTATGCTCGACAAGAGAAGTAAGGACGGTCGTTCCTTATTTTGATCAGCCGAAAGAAGTAACACATTAACCGCCACAGCAATGGTTTGTGAGTGATTTGTGAAGCTGCAAAGAAGGGAGGAAACCCGGGCGCGATCCTTTTCCTCCCTCCAGCTATAATTTGGCACTTTGAAAAGAAGGCCACGAATGGGCGCTTTGCCTTTTCTCCGCCCCCCCCCCCCTTTCTTTGCGTTTGGCAGCGGCGGCAGCAAGATTCGTTCTCGACGTCTGCTTCGTAGTCATGGGAGTTTCAGGACCACGGACAGCGCATAGCTTTAAGGGCATTTGTCGCCACCTGCAGGACTGGGAGTTTCGACTCGGAGTGAAACCTGCGGGTGCAGGCTCAGCCTACATCTGTCCTAGCTTGCCCCACAGACATCTGGAGTGTGAGAGTGCGATCATGTTTTTGCACAAAGGCAGTCGCCCCCTACTTCATATTTTTGTTGCGTTTTTCAAGTCCTTGAAGCTGTTGCAGATGAAACAGCCTGGAAAATGCAATTGAATGTCCCGTTCCCGTTTCCAGGCCAGGCTAGTAACTGACAGCTTTGCTAAATAAAGGTGGTGTTTGGGAAGGATTCAGTGCTTGACTGAGTCACTGTAAAATCGGCTTCAAACTCTGAGTCTTTCGATCACTTTCCCCTTTCTTCTCGAATATCTATTTTTCACTCATTTCAGTTTCAGGACTGCCATTTTGGGGACTAGATAAATTGACCACCCTGAAGCAGTGGGTAAATGTTTGCTGGGAGACTGCAATTAGTGCTTTTGTTTCCTCCTAAGAGAGGTTATCAGTAAGTACTCAAACAGAGTAAACATTGCTTGGTTTGATTGTGAGGAGGGTTTCCATACAAGACTGCATTAACATCCCAAAATAAAAGATTCTCAGATACAAAGTTGCTGTAGAAATAAATTACATATTTCTTCCTTTTCTAAGCTATGTCACAAGTAGATGGTGGAATACCCCGTGGAGGTACGGTTATATATCTAAGAAGAAATCTTACTGTATTTTTTATAAAACAAATTTTTGGTGTGCAAACTTTCACATTTTGGGGGGGATTGTAAGTGCAAGGAACCAGGAAACATTATTACAGAACATGAAAGCTTGTGATTAAGAATACTGTACTTTGGAACAAATGGGAAAGGAAGTTGTTTCTGTCACATAACCTTTTGGAAAGAGCTGATCAAGAAACAATGTGATGAATTAGGATGAAACAGGACTGAATGAATAAAAAAAAAAGCAGAGATGAAATAGCAAGGGAGCTTGCTTTTAAGATGGATTTGTTTACCAGTGCATTGTTATTCATGCAAATTATTTCTACCCATTGCAGCCATTTAGCTACCTAAAGACCCATACATACTGATTCTCATCAACTTCAATAACCCCCATAAACATATCTTGCTCCTTTTCTCCCCATCTTTAAACTATAAATTTTACTGTTAATAGAAATGTTTATTTTTTTATGGTTTTATTGGTTTTCATTGCTGTAAGCCACCCAGAATTGCCTTGAAGCAAGATGGGCAGCAAACAATTCAAATAAATAAATAAATGAAATTAGAAGGAGACCAAGGGGAACTTCTGAATATGAATCTCTCCTCCCCTGAGGCAGCTGTCTCACTATGCCTAGTGATAGGACAGGCTGTGCAATGTGCATGCAAAGGCAAACATGCACACAAAGCTAAAAGCAAAGATATATATCTGTTGTTCTCAGAGCTCTAGGGAACTTTGAATTTCAGGAAATTAAAATACAACAAACTGTTAAAATTACTGATCTTCAGAAGATAAAGATGCTATAGCTTCACTTGATAGAAGAAAGCAAAAAAAAAAATCCTAAAGAAATCTCAAAATGAGAACAGTATCTCTTCAAGCTATCTGAAATGGGCACTGGATTGGCACAGCATAAATAAATGTATTGCTTGCCAGTAAACACCTCCAAGGGAGTGGGGATGAGGGAGATTCTGTGTCTGGATGATAAATTAATTCTACTGATTGAAATAATGTTGATTAGGAGAAAAGTTGGAAAACCTTGGTGGGAAAAAATTGCAATCTGTTTTGGATATAAGGTATGATTTTGTTCAGTCTAGTCTGGATAGAATCCCAAATAACCCTTCCTTCCTTCTTTCCTTCCTTCCTTCCTTCCTTCCTTCCTTATCAACATACACATCATTCCTTTCCAAACCTGACCAAAAATCCACCCAATCCAAAATATCTTTTTGCAACAATGGCCAACTAGGTGTCCTCTAAAAGTTCACTAGCATCATGTTACCAAGTACAATGGCTTTGAACAAAAGATTTCTAGTTAGCTATCGTATTTTATAACACACTGTTTTCTGACAGCTTCTGCTTATGTGCCCAAAAAGGTGCTATTCCTCTGTTGTGGATGATGATGATGGCATCAGCAGGCTTTAGGGTCTCAAGGAAAAAAAATTATAAGAAAGGATTTTTTCCTCCTGGCATATATGTAATTAAATCAGTGAGGAAGCATTAAGTATATGAAATTAGAGTACAATACTGATTGACTGTTATGGGGAAAGGCTGAAGAGATAATGACATAGAATGTTGGTTCTCTTTCAAAGCCAACCTAGAACTAAGGAGACATTGCCTGACAGAACAATTAATCAGCGGAATGACTTGCCTCCAGAAGTTGTGGGTGCTCAACTCCGGAGATTTTAAAGAAAAGATCTTACAAGAATTTGTCTGAAATGATATAAGATTTCCTGTTTGAGCAGGGATTGGACTAGAAGACCTCCAAGGTCCCTTCCCAGACCTTCAAGGTTCCCGTAAAACACCTCCTGCAAAAACACACACAAGTATCTTGCTAGAACTTCCAAAAGAAATAAACCACGCTGCAGAGTCCTCTGGTCAAAGGAATTATGGATGAAGGTGTTATTTAATCCATGATAGTAAAAAATTGATATGGGAAACCTGAAAAAAGAAATATTTCCCACATCTGGGGGGGGGAGGCCAGTTGCCATATGGAATTTTAGCTGCTTTTGACTTCTCAACAAGCACATCAAAGATTATCCATCTGTTCCATTATGTAATACCTACGCAGCTTCGCTCCTGTGCGTTCTCCTCAAATAAACACTGCATTCTGGTTTTCACCACCCTAAATATACCAGAGTAACAGTTTTAACAGTTTTAATACTTCATAAACGTGTACAATCTGCTGAGTTACGTGCTCAGCATAGTTGGCACAGTTACATGCTCAGCACCAAACATGAGCACAATTCTGGGGTGGGCTTCACTTTATGGTAGTAAGTCCCAAGGAGAATGCCAGTGATGGTTAGAGGCTAAATAAGCAGAACAAAGGACCAGAAGAAAAAGTAGGTGAAACCCTCATCTCTTTTTTTTTTCTTATGTTCCTCTATGACCCCACTTTGTTTTTATCACCTCCCCAAGTTCAAGCTGGGACAAATGGTTCCTCCCAGAACCTGAACTGATTCGTCATAAAAGATTTTAAAAATAAATTCAAATGTTATCTCAGACATTAAGGGAGAAGATTAATTACTTCTACTGCCACTTAAGAGAACCTGAGATAGCATAGGATAGGATAGGATAGGATAGGATAGGATAGGATAGGATAGGATAGAGAATAGAATAGAATAGAATAGAATAGAATAGAATAGAATAGAATAGAATAGAATAGAATAGAATTCTTTATTGGCCAAGTGTGATTGGACACACAAGGAATTTGTCTTGGTGCATACGCTCTCAGTGTATATAAAAGAAAAGATACATTCATCAAGAATCATAAGGTACAACAATTAATGATAGCAAAAGAGACGACCTCTTATTATTCCTGGAAAACCAGATGCTACTTTGGGGCTTCATTGGATCGCATCATTATCCTGTTAGAAGTGACTCCTGAGATACAGTAAGTAGGGAAAAAAAACAACAAGAAAAATAAGAGAAAGTGAGAAGTAATATTAGAAAAGAGCAAAAACAATGCATGCATCTTCCAGTATTATAAAAAGGATAAAATGAGGGCATTTATTTTAAATATATTTTCTGTTCCCAGATTCACAGCCATTTCTTTTTCCGTTTACAGCCATTTTCATTCATGCATTATGCTATTTGGAGGTTTTTTTCTCCCAATCCCTTTCTTAATAATGTTTGAAAATCATATGTTTTCTTCATCACTGACCCATCACACCAGTAGTGGGTTCCACTTACCTTTGCTACCGGTTTGGAACCGGAAGCACAAGTGCACGGCACTTCTGCGCATGCACAGAGCGTCCATGACAGCATCCAGGTGGGTGGGAGGAGCCTCCTGCAACCGCCACTACCAGTTCGTCTGAAACGGGGTGAACCGGTAGAAACCCACCATTGCATCACACCATGAAAACATTTTCTATGAATCTACGAATCTTTGTTAAGACTTATTTGATAAATGTTCATTGCAGTTAATACTTTTTGTCTTGTCTCTAATACTCTTGTCTATTTTTCTGGTTTTTTACGTACTGTATGTTTCTTAATGTGCCGTAGTTATTGCTCTTGTTGTCTGCCATTCCTTCACCTACTCAACGGATCTGGTTGCTATTTATCTATTTATTATGGTTCTTCACATTACAGGCAGCAACATGATGTTACCCCCCCCCCACAAAGAACAGGCTCTATTTCTAAGCACATATAGTATGATTGATTGATTGAGTGAGTGAATGAGTGAATGATTGACTGACTGATTTGCAGGGTTTATAACTGCACTAATCAACTGCCTCTGAGCAACAAATACTGTAGTTCCCCAGGTTTGTCATTTGAGATTAAAATGAACATAATGAAAATTACAAACACACATTATATGTAACCATAAAAACAGTGGTGAAATCCAAATTTTTTTACTACCGGTTTTTGGGCGTGGTGTGGCTTGGTGG